AAAAAAATTTTGTATGTGATCCATTGATAAGAATTGAAGTGGAAGTTGTAGTGACACAGGACATGATAAGCTTAGTAGTATTTGGTGGGATATTGAAATATTGAAGAGTTTTCCTAATAAACGACCATTCCAACCTATCAAACGCTTTTTCCAAGTCTAATTTGAGTAACATGTAACTATTATTTCCTTTCATTTTTGCTAACTAATTAATTGCTTCTTGTACTATTATTGCATTGTCAGCAACACGTTTTCCTTGTTGAAAACTAGTTTGTGTTGGCCCTATTATCAAAGAAATAAAAGGTTTAAGACGATTAACAAGTATTTTTGTAATTAGTTTATAAGTAGTGTTACGCAGACTACTAGGCCTAAACTGGTGAACTGATTGAGCATGCCTTACTTTTGGAACAAGGCATATGTAAGTCTGATCGAGTGAATGAGGTATTACATTTGATTCAAAAATATCATGGCAAAATTGCCTAACCTTACTACTGACATCAGGCCAAAACTTTTGATAAAAGAAAGGATGAAGTCCATCCGAGCCCGGTACTTTGTAAGGACCAAAGCTAAACATAGCACGATCAATTTCAATATCCTTAAGAGGTGTTTGTAGAATTTGAGTATTCATCTTACTAACTGAACTGAAATTCGAATTAAAAGTAATATTAGTAGACTGATTGTGGTCAGTTGTAAAAAGATTTTTGTAATCAGAGAGTATGTGATCCTGAATAGCTTGGTGGTCATAAAACCAGTTTCCAACTGAATCTTTAAGAGAGGTTATTCTATTTCTCCTACGTCTTTGCAACGTAGACATATGGAAGAATTTTTTATTAGCGTCTCCTTCATTAAGCCAAGTCACTCTTGACTTAAGCTTCCAAAAGTCCTCCTCTAACCTAAGTATATTACTAAATTCATTATTCAATTATACTTCTAAATTTTGAAGGAAATAGCTAGTGGGGTAGTGTACAAAAGACTGGATTCCAGCAAGTCTAGCTAGTATTTTCCTCTTCCGACTATAAATGTTTCCAAAAGTATTATGTTCCAATCTATGAGGACCTTCTGAAAATTTGTAATAGTTTCTAAGATTGGTGACTTATCATGCCAAGCAGTTTGAACTAATTGATGGAATTGTGGGTGTGATACCAAAATAGTTTCAAATCTGAAAATATTTCTAGGTGGTTGTTTCCTATTGTCTAAGCTAAGTAATAACGGACAGTGATCAGAATAAGTACGGGGTAAATGTTGCATTGTAGCCTCAAGGTACAGATTGAGCCATTCATAATTAGCCAAAAATCTATCTAGTCTTTCTAGTATTGTATGCCCCTTTTTTCTTTAATTAGTCCAAGTAAATCTACTACCTTTAAACCCTAAATCTATTAAATTACAGTAGTTAATACAATTAGAAAAAATTTCAGCCCTACTAATATTAATAGGAAGCCCCCAAAATTTTTTATTAGCATATAAAATATCATTAAAGTCTCCTCCAATTTGCCAAGGGTACTTAAGATTATCATGCAAATCCATAAGACTCTCCCAAAGTTCATTTCGTACATGGCATAAATTTTTAGCATATATAGCAGATAATATCCATTTAGGGTTAATGGGACCTACCTGGACGAGATAATGAATTTCTTGCTCAGTTACCCTCTGCTCCTCAACAGCAATTGCAACCTCATTCCATACTACAACTAACCCTCCTTCAAGCCCATTTGCATACACTTGCTCCATATTAGTGAATCCAAAATCCTGTCTAAGTCCTTCATGGTCATGCATGTGTGTTTCAAGCAGTATTGCTAGGACTGGCCTATAGTTGTCTAGTAGGGATCTAAATTGCCTCCTAAACTCCGGGTTATGGGATCCCCTACAGTTCCAAACTATTATATTCATAATATAAGGCATTGGTATTGTGACTGTTGGAGTAGGCATCAACGGGCTGACAAACATTGATGACATCCGGTCCTGCGAATCCATCAGTGATAGGAGCTGATGAAGAGTTGGAATTATCACCATCGAGTATTTCCCTGCCTCTTGATTCGTTGTGACACGGAAGTTCATGCTGCATGAGTTCATCTCTAGTGGACACTTTAGGATGAATTTTTTTGCAAATTGCTCCTTTAGATTGTAAAGATGTATCTCTTTTAACCATAAGAACTCTGTCCTTGTCTCTCTTATTTTTGCTATTATTTCTGCTAACTCCTCCCTTGTTTGCACATCTAGTTCGTTGGGAGATGGTGTTGGAGGTGGTGGTGGACTTCGTGGACTGCTTGGGGAAAATTGTGTCTCGAGAAGACTCATTGGATTGGCATATGGGGAGAGAGGATTGAAAGAGTGGAGATGCTGGAACTATGGTGCATAAATCTGCCCCATGTGATGTGATGGGTAAAAGGGCAGTAGGTTTGTCGTGGCTGGAACTGGTATCTGTGAGTACATGATGTAACTCCACTGCTGGGGATTCGAACTTGAAGCCTGATGATCCAGTATGAGGGGTGTTTATGTGTTGTACCATTGGTGTTGAGCATACCCCTCCATCCCTAGTCCCATTCCCTCTGTAACTATCTCTGCCAGATGCGATGGGTTCTGCACAAGAAGGACAATCTCCTGATTGTTCAATTCCATTGTAAACACAAGAGCATAACCCTGTAATCCCACAAGAGCATAACCATTGTGTTTGCCTGAGGCGTGTATATCAGTGGGGTGTTGATATGTGGAAGCTGAGGTCCCTGCATACGCAGTCGAGGAAGAAAAAATAGTTGATTGTTGTTCCAGTTTCTCAGCACAGTAGGGTTTTTGTTTTGTGGGAGTGTTGGTCTTTGCATCTTTATTTAGTTGTGCAGTAGAAGGTGCAGATTTAGTAAGGTCAAGAGAAGAGGGTTGTTGTTCTACGATGGATAGCAATAAAGGGTCTTTATTTAACTGAGTAGGAACCTGATTTGTTTGTAGTGAAAGGACCTTAAGGTTATCACATGAAAAGTCATTATTTGGTTTTTGTTGGGGTTGGCTAGGATTATAGGCTACTGTAGCATGCAATACACTGTTGCTGCCACTGACGTGGATTGCTGCTAAGTCCTGTTGGCCATGCACTGGATTCGAGTTGTCTTCTAATGGCTGGTTATAGGTATTATGAATTGGTTTGGTTAGCTCATGATGGGTGTAGGTAGTTGTGTTAACGTGTTTTGTGTATTTAGCTAGAGTTGATCATGAGAGTTGAGTAGAGTTCTAGGGGGTAAGTATTGGTACTTGGTGTTGGAGATATTATTTGGTTTGGGATTATCTGATTTGCTTTGGACTTTAGTGGGGAAGGGATGTTTCTATTGGGCTGGTTAGATGTAGTAGGTAATTTATTGTCAATGTCTTCCTCGGTTGGGCCTTTCAATTTAATATTGTCCAAATCCATGTTGTCTAAGTCCTCTAACTTGTGAAACTTGTTATTGAGTACATTTGGTTCAGCCTTGTCTCTTGCTTGTTTGTGGGCTTTCAGAGGCCCAATTTTGATAGTCGACGAGCCTGCTTCCCAGTGTTGCCCTTGCTCCACCATTCCCAGTTCCGCCCTAAAGTTGGCCGCGTTTCTATCATTATTGTTATGTTGCGTCGATTTTTTTGGAAAACTAACTATTTTCCACTTCGTTTGTTGGGTCGTACCTTTCTGTGGAGTAGTAGCAGTATTTAGATTTGGATTATTCTTTGTTGTATGTGGTGTAAAGAGACAGCTTATAGTCGTATGTCCAAATCGACCACAGCTTGTGCATAGTATGTTCAGTCCTTCATATAACAAGCTCTGTCTATGGTGGCCTATAAGAACATGCGACTTTAACGGCTTCTCTAACGGTACCTCTATATATATTCTTGCATATTTGCCCCTAGTTGTAGAAGATGTGCAAGCATCCACCTTTAACAGGAACCCACCTTATATAAGATTTGTTCATCATAAAACTCAGTAGGGAGCTCTGGTAGGCAGACCCATATTGCTGAGTATGTGAGTTGGATTGCTGAAGCTATGAACTTTGGCTCCCATTGCCTAACGGATAGGAAATGATTCAAAACGAACCATGGCCCTCCATGTAATGCCTTAAGCATGTTTTCTTCCTTTTGAAACTTTATGAGGAAGAAATCAGAGCCTAGATCAATAAGATGAATGTCCTCATATGGGTTCCATAAGGCCAGCAATTTAGTTTGGAGTATTTGGTGCAGTATTTTCCTACCAAATACTTTTACTATAATAGAGTACTTCCAGGGAGTGTATAGACGACATTTATCCTCAGTAGTAATAGGTATAAATATGTCATCGTCTGTACTGCAGTGGAGGCTTTCATCCGATAAGTCAAGTTGTAGCTTCGTGCTCTGTTGTATAAAAGGAATTTCCGGTGGATGTTTGTTTGAAGTTACAGTTTGTAGAAAAGATGGTTTTGGAGAAGTTTGTTTTTTATCTTCTATTTGCATAGCCCCTATATGTGGTGGTTCTGTAGATGCTAAGTCATAATTATTTGTTTTTGTGAAGTTTTTCATGGATGTTGCAGAGTCTAATAATCAGCAGAAAAGATTTTAGATATTGATGGAAGTTTGTTTGAATAAGGTGTGTTTGGTTTTCTAGAGAGATAAACTCTCCTACTGACATCTGTTAATCTATAGACGTGTAGGCTTTAGTTGCTAGGTTTATTATTGTTGTTAATTTCAACAGTATTTTAATTAAAAATCATTAAATCAATGTCAAATAATCTTTGTTCTTTATTTAATTAGATCTTTGCTTTCGTAAACACCTTTGTTTGTTAAAGCCAACAACTTTAAAGGATAGTTTGCTTTTCGGTTTTGTTTTTCAAAAACGACTCTAAAACTAAAAAACTGCCCAAAACCAAGCCGAGAAGCAACTACCATTCCTTGATCGAGCGACTATCCGCCACGTGGCGTACTTTTATTGGATATCGGTCACCTCCTTTTTCAAGCAACCTTCTGCTTTTCGGAGACTGATGGATAGATACATGTTCTTCTGTATGTATATATATAGCAAATAAAATCACAGAAGAAGCATACTCTAAAACCAACTATGGCTCTTCGTTTCTCTTTAATTTTCCTATTTTCTCTTTTCTTAACGACGTCGTTATTGTTGTCCGTTAACGGCAACATTAACGGCGGTGAAGATGACGATATTTTGATCCGTCAAGTCGTAGGCGACGACGACGATCACTTGTTAAACGCCGATCATCACTTCACGATTTTTAAGAGGAGGTTCGGCAAAACCTACGCGTCCGATGAGGAGCATCATTACAGATTCTCGGTGTTCAAGGCTAACTTGCGCCGTGCAATGCGCCACCAGAAGCTTGATCCCTCCGCCGTTCACGGTGTGACTCAGTTTTCCGATTTGACTCCGGCCGAGTTCCGCCGGAATTTTCTAGGAGTTAACCGTCGGCTCCGGCTTCCTTCTGATGCCAATAAAGCTCCTATTCTTCCTACTGAGGATCTCCCTTCAGGTTTCGATTGGAGAGATCACGGTGCCGTCACGTCAGTAAAGAATCAGGTACTAGTATATATCAATGTTTGTGTAAAGTTTATCTTTTTTTGGATAGGCGAAGTGTTCGTCATTAATGAATAATTACATAATTTCTATTTGTATCGATTGAAAAACTAGGGTTCATGTGGCTCGTGCTGGTCATTTAGTACCACTGGTGCGTTAGAAGGTGCCACCTATCTTTCTACAGGGAAGCTTGTAAGCCTCAGCGAGCAACAACTTGTGGACTGTGATCACGAGGTTTGACGTTCTTCCTCTTTATCTTAGCTTAAAATCATGAATATATTGTCAATAGAGTTACTGTTTTTCTTTTTTCTTTTTTTCTGGGACGTTTGAATGTGTAAAATAATTTTCGCTGTGGTGTGTCACAGGATTTGGTCCATAGCTGTCATCTTTTTCTAGTTAAAGAAAATTGATAGCGTGAAGGACACTAACCGCATAAATTAAAGTGCTTTCTCTGATTCCGTCTCACTTTAAAGTTTAAGAACCCGTTTGGCCATGAAATTTCTTTTTTTTTTCCGTAAAATTTAACTTTTCTTCTAAATCAATGTTTGGCCATCAAATTTTTTATTTTCACTTGAAGATAATTTTACAATTTTTCAAAAATTTGAAAAACTTCAAAAACTGTTTTTCAAAATTTTGAATATTGTTGTTGATGTAAAAAACAGACACTAATTTATAAGAGTAATCTCCTCTTCTTTGTTTGGTGGATGGCCAGGGGTGGGGACTGGGGACCCATCTTAAGGGAGCGGAGGAAAAGTTGTTTTATTATTAGTTTATGGCTGGTTATGAAATTCAACTAATTGATACTCTGAGGATAACCACGGACAAAATTGTTTGGATGATGAGGAAATCGCATCCAAAAATTGTCTGCATCTGAATATACTTTTAACATTACTTGAAGTTTCAAGTTTAAGCTCGTGTATGCAACGTGGTGGGAGATGTACAAGGATAAATAGAAAGGCGTTGAGTTATTGAGATAGGTTTGTAAAACTCTTCTTAAATTTTCCATTGTTTGATTGCCATTATATAATCATTTGTATAATTTCCAACTTGGAAAAAGCTGTTCAAACTCAAAATAAGGTTTAGGCTTGAACTTATTGCTATTTACGGTGTCTGCCATTTTATAATCAGAAATGGGATTGAATACAGAGTTAATAAGACCACTGACTCGCCTTATTTACCTCACTCGTCTCAGATGAATTTTATACTTCCAAATTTCAGTGTTCCCCATCTCCCTGAAAAATGTATAATTTGGCCTTGCATTTATCTGCAGTGTGATCCAGAAGAAAAAGATTCATGTGACGCAGGGTGCAATGGTGGCCTAATGAATAGTGCCTTTGAATACACTCTGAAAGCTGGTGGACTTATGCGAGAAGAAGATTATCCATACACTGGCACCGATCGTGGAACCTGCAAATTTGACAACACCAAGGTTGCTGCTAAAGTTGCTAACTTTAGCGTTGTCTCCCTTGACGAAGAACAAATCGCTGCTAATCTTGTCAAGAATGGTCCTCTCGCTGGTAAATAGTCTCTCAAAACACTTTTCAATTTGCCTATCATTATGCTTCTTCTTTGTCCTTACTTGATATTGTCAAAGTATATACTTGGATTGTCATATTTATGCACTGGAATGTAAAAGGTATTTACACAATTAAGTCACTTATTAGGTAATTACAAGTAACTATTTTGATAAGTTTTAATTAGTAATGTGTTAAAATGATAATTAACTTGCTATTTAAATTCACTGATAGCCGTAACAAAATCTTTTAACTATTAATATATATAATATAAATATTTGTTTTTTAATAAACAACAAATATTATTTGTGAAAGATCCAGTTATGTAGCTTGAAACTACATTTTGGGATTTTGAATTATGTACTACTCTTCTTATGCTAATGGTTTTCAATTTTTCACTGATGTAAACTTCTGAAAGCATTTTTGTTGCTTGGCTTGCAGTGGCGATCAATGCAGTGTTCATGCAGACATACGTTGGCGGAGTTTCCTGCCCATATATATGCTCTAAGAAGTTGGATCATGGTGTCTTATTAGTTGGTTATGGTACTGGCTTTTCTCCCATTAGAATGAAAGAGAAACCATACTGGATCATCAAGAACTCATGGGGAGAGAAATGGGGTGAAAACGGATACTACAAAATCTGTAGAGGCCGCAATGTTTGCGGAGTGGATTCAATGGTTTCAACAGTTTCAGCTGTTAGTACCAGCTCACACTGAAAATTCACGTCTATTTTAACCGACTACACTATCACTGTAAATTAAGTGTAAGCTAGTATTTTCCAGGACCCATCAATCAATTGGGCCATTCGAATTGTTATTGCTTCAAGAAAATAGACAATTTGTATTCGATTAAATTCCATTTTACCAAAACTCCAAAATAAAGCACTTTCGTCCGTCCCCCTCTACTCCTACTCATTAACTGGATAGATGTTCAGGATGCGGAAAATTGATATGTTTCGGACGTCAGTTGGTTTTTTCGCTCTCTATTGAACATTTTCCGAACACATCAATAAAATTCCATAATTCATATGCATATGTTTCCCCAATAATGGGAAGGTAACTTTCATCTGCAGCTGCTAATGTTTGTTTACACTAGGAACGTGGTTGTCCCTATCACCTTTCTTATTAACAGCAGCTTTGGGAGTTCCGCAACAAACCATTCAGAAAGATAAACTCGGAATCCTATTTTCTATAATAACTAGAATGTCTTACCAACAATATCTCCGGCGCGAGTGTAGGTCAACCCTGTCATAACCGAACCTGCTGATGGAACTTATGAGTAATGATGCTCCATACTTTAGTTACTTGCTCTCGGGCCATCAAATTTTCCATATTCTAAGCAAAGAGTAGACAAACAGTGACAAAAAATTGATCTTCGTATCTTCTATCAAAGAACTTAGAAATCAAAGTGCAAGAATAATAACAAGAGTTCGTTTGACTCTTTCCAGTGCGTCGCCTTAAGGACTATCTAGCCCCAAGGTGCTTTTTTCTTTGGTTAAACTGCCAATCGTTTAACGATAGTTGATTGGCATCCAAAATTCAGAATTATTAAAACCTCCTCCATCACACTAGGAAGCAAGTAACACGCGCAGACTCACCGCGGGAAAGTCCCTTTTCATACTTTGCAACCGCCAATAAACTGTACAGTTGGTGGGCAAATAGGCATTTATATCAAGGCACGAGAATGACAGACAAATTTATCTCTTTAATAAGAATTGCATATCATTTTTTTTTATTTTGGGTTTTGGAGTTGGTTGGGGGCATGGGGGGAAAGTTTCCAAGAATGAACCTGTTCACGTGGTTTGTTACTGATAGAAATGCTCATACACATAGGTGATAATGAACATTGACAAGCAAACTGTCCCAGCATATCTGTTGCACAAAAACCGTGGCTACTTCAGGACCACACAACATAACAATACAATTTTATAAATAACTTATTATACCATCTAAAAGTTGCAGCGGCAGAGATGCTGCTTTCATTGCTGTGAACCTCACATGCAGAATGCTTATTTCTCTCGGTGCCAATAAAACAAATAGAGCGGAGCGTGCTCAAGGAATAGTGCTCCATCTCACCAAAAAATGAAAAGGAGAAACAATCTTATCCCCTCCACTAAGATGACCGTTCAAACAAAAAGAATAACACATCTACATCAACTTACAAACAGCGAGCTTCATATTCTATAATCCTTGATGCTTCCTCATTCATCCTCCCCGTCAACCAATGAGAATGAGAAAGGACTAAACTTGTAACCATCTCCCTCATAAAACTTATTCTGGAACTCCACCCAGTGTAGTCGCAATGCGTGTAGGAAGGCACTGAGAGTTTCCATCACCAACAACACTCCGACAGTGGCAAAGATGAATACAATGATACCAATGATGAGAATAAAGACATTGTTGAACCTGAGGAGCATAAATAAATAAAAATACAATCGTATTAATATCAGATTAATATATCAATATTTCTTCTGGAATATTCTCAGCCCACTATATACCAGCTAAATCCTAGGAGCATTCAGGTTATATATTGGACCCTACAAATATAAACTCGATACATAACAGGTCGCTCACAGAGTCACAGAGAACCAAACCTGTACTACTTCCTAAGCCAGATTCACTGCATAAGGTTTGATAAATTTGAATGAACACAAAAACTAGTACAGAAAGCTATTTAAGGTTTGATAAATTTGAATGAACACAAAAACTAGTACAGAAAGCTATTTGCCAATGAACATAGAATGAGTGACTTACCCCCAGGCTAGAAGAAGAACCTTTTCATAAAATACACTGGACAGCTCAGAGTGTGCAAGGCTGAAAAAAAAGAAAGGCAACATAGAATATTACCCTTTGTAATTAAGAAAAATGACATGTGATAACATTTATGAGGTAGCTAGGGTAAGCTTATATTATGGGGATTAAGTAATATGCAGATTGTAAGCGGGATATACAGTTTTAGCAGATTGGGATGGTTGACTGTGAACGAAGTAGAGGATACTAATACAATTTATGTTGGTTTCCAAAAAGACTAGCTCTTTTAATTTTCAGCAGCATTTTTAAATGGATTCTCCTCACAATAAAAGCATGGGGCAATTTTTCCAATAAGGTGGATTGATATATCATCCCCCCTATTAATAATATATCAAATCAGAAATCCTAGTACCACTCAGCCAACTATCCAATACATTACGGTCTCTAAACAAACCCCTAGTGGTCAAACACAAAGAATCACGCCTGCTGATTTAAGAAGAGCTTCCATTCTTCGATAACTAAATAAACACATTATAGCTAATAATTCCACTCAATAATTAAGATTTCAAAATCTAACTACAAAGCATTTTGTCTAAAATCTATTCAACATCTATTATGAGTGAGGTTTCCAACATAGAAGCACACAAGATTATTTTACTAGAGTAAAGCAGGAGAGATTAACACATCTTAACTCCTCGAGCATACCTGAGAGCCCACAGACGAAGGTAAGAAGCTGTGTTTGAGACTGCTCCAAGTACAAATTCAATTGTATGAATGAGCTGATGAACAAAAACCTCACTAAACTCGAATTCCTCATGATGACCAGAATCATCGCTGCTTTCCACCAATAAAGACTCTTCTGCCTCCTGAAGTGCTGTGTAGGACTGCCCTTGGTGCCTCTGAAGAAGTAGCAAACCAAATAGCGTTAAGCAGAAGCTTATGAATAACTTAAAAGGAAAAAGAAACAAGGCAAGCGAACATACTTCATGTTGAGCTTTCAAGAGGAAGGGCTTTGGAAGAAGCATCCATGGGACTGCAACAAGGGCAGAGAATAGCAGGACAAGCTGGCAAAAATTAACAAAAGTCAAAAGTAAAATTAGGGAAGACATGAGAAATCGTGAGAAAAGTTTGGCTATGAAGGGATATTAACCTGGGTTGTCTTCTGACCAGCAAAAAGTTGGTTTTCACCAAGCTCATCTGTCGGGCTAAGGAACATGTATATCATTACATGGTATAAATCAGCTTTGGATCCGGTGCACCACTTCACGATGATAAGGACGGACAGGTATCCAAACAGAGCATTCAGAAATATTATTTGTGGAACAAACTGACACCTGACATGCAAAGTTTGGTTAACTGCCAATATTTTGATTGCAACATCCAAAATTGTTAAACGGCATCCCAGAAATCTAGGGACTGTAATCCCAATATAATGAAACTTACCAAATATTTATACCACTGCGAAAGAACAGAGCATTGAAAAAGCTCAGAAATATCCCCAGGTTCATCTGGGCCACCCCAAGAAGGATAGACATTTTCATCTTCAATGAATTGAGGTATGGCAACTCACTGCGTGTACCATGCCATGCTGGATCCACACCAAATGGATAAGTGTCACGCACTTTGATTAAGCCTGCAGAGGTAGAGTCCCTACAATCAAGTCGGCTATGATTAGATAACATGCAATAAATAGACACTAAAGATGTTAAAAGGAACAACTCTAACCTATCAATAATTAATTATAACAAAAAAATCTACCTGCAAGAAGGATCGCGGCACCCATATGCTGATCGACCAAACAACTCAAAGGGCACAGAAAAGAACTCATTATAGATCAGGCCCGTGTATATTGAGAAGAGGGACATCATAAATATCACATATCGCCCTCCAAAGGTCATTTCCATGATGTCTCCAAGTTTCTGCATTCATGAATCACTATCTATTATGTTTCAAATTAAAGTGGTTTAAATTCATGCTCTGGCAGAAAGGTTCCAGATTGGTCGAAGCACTAACATATGCCTTATGCGTAATTCAATTGAACAAATCCACCAGTGCCATATACTATAGCAAACTAATAGTTCTAATAATATTCTTAATCCAAGTATACCCCAATTTATCAGAACATTGTACAAGAAAAGTAAACTAGAAATGGTAGTCCTAGTGGACGAGTTACTAGATCAACACACTCAGATTTCTGCAATCTTCCAAGAAAAGAGTTCTTAACATCGAGGAAACTTTGAGCGACTGCATTTGATCTATGCATTGTCACCTTAATAACTTTAGCCCACATAGATCTTTTTTCCTTTGTCGAAGCTATGAAAAGGCTGTCATTTAAAGGTACCTCATGTAACACCTGTCTGATGAACATATACCAATCCCTTGCTTACTTAAGAAGCTGACCTAGTTTTGATGAATACGGTATTTTATTAATAATAAAAGCTCAGGGCTAGTATAGAGATATAGTACACAAGAATTGCTGGGTATGAATCCTCTTAAGCTGTAAGGACTCCAAAAAACTCCAGCATTACATCAACATCAGTGGAGAAGTCTTCATATAACCAAAATAATGAATTTTGAATACATCTATTTTATATAATTGAATGTAAGAAGCTGACCTAGCTCTTGGCATGTTGCAGTCACTACACAACAAAAGAGAACTTCTGAGCTTTATTACAAAGGATTTATTTTTTATAAAGTGTTACGAGGGAAATAACAGATGATTCCTTCTAAAAAAAGGGGATATAACGGGTGATTCCTAAGTTTTTAGCAAACTGATGTAAGAGACAGTACAGATATAGCCAATTGGGTCTATAGGCTATTCTAACTAGGTGATTTGTAATCCATAAATAGCGAAAAATGCAGCAATCACCTGACTGGACAGTTTTTTCTCTCTGATTAATAAGAATAGAGTCGCAAGCAACAGACAGATGCCATGACCCCAATCACCAAACATAACTGCGAAAAGGAATGGAAATGTGACGATAGTGTAAACACCAGGATTTGCTTCCTGATATTTGGCCACCCTGCAACAGTTAATCAAACAGCATGAATATGAAATACAATAACATCATACAGAAAGTATTAGAAATCAACACACCTAGATACCTATAAAGATAGAATCCAAGTGACGACTTCTATTACTTAAGAAAGATGG